CCGTATGCACTGAAACGCTTTTGGCGTCTGCTTGCCAAGGATTCAGAGAGATGCAAACGTTTTTTTTCAAGATGCCGGGCGGGATATGTTGTATCAGTCGTACATCAGGAAATGTATCAATGATACAACGCACCGATGATATGTCATTGCGTGATATACTGTCAATGATTGACTGACGTGATTAACATTACTGTCATCCAGAAAACAAGTAGATGCACATTACCTATGAAGACCCATGCTTTCTACCTGCGCGACTAAGACCGAGTTGACAGCAGTCGTAAAACAAACACTGATCGATTAAAAGAGCAAAAGTTTGTTATATCGCGATCGCAACAAATTGCGAAAAACACAGACAAGCGCACTTGCTCTACGTGTCGAGACGTTTTCAGCTTGCTTGTAATGCAAATAAGTCCATTGCAAAAATGGATATAACCTACCCACCATGTGATGCGACTTCCCAGGGTGGGTAAGCTGCCTCATTTAAAAGGTCATTCGAAAGTCATTACCTCCCAAAAAACGAAGATGTGATCTTTGAAGGTTATAGCTGTCTGCAGTTACAATAATCTTAGTCCTATCGTCATTTATTACAGCAGGAGGGAGTTCAAAGTAAAGCTGATCTCTACTGCCAGTAGATATACTCTCCCTACTCCATCCTGCCATCAATGCAACATATCGTTTCAGTCAAAATGTGTCACATCTGCCGTGCGCCGTTAGTACTAGAGATACAAATATAGAATCCTCTCGTAGTCAAAAAACGTGATGCGAAAATTATAGGGACCCCCCCCCCATTTATATGGGCTTTGAACTGAAAAAGCCATCTTGAATACCTTTCGGTGCTGTTCACAATCCTGCCTTCTTAAGACCTAAACCCACTCTAGCTTATGAGCTGCGCGTCCGCGAAAATGAGGAAAGGTATATCGGGGAGAGTATTTCAAGGCCACCTTGACATTCATGACGTCACAATGACGCCATTCAAATCCTGTCATTCTATAAGTCAGGGCGATTAAGGCCAACAATATGTAATTGTCGAGTCGCTCATATCTGCCGTCAGTTGGCTCTCCATGTTGGGTGAGGTACGATGACGTAATCTGACCATGGCGCATTGAGAGGTGTGCTTACTTAGTAGAGAATTGCGCTGTCTAGAATAGTCTTTTCCACTTAAAATGCATACCAATAGTTATAAATGAGTCTTGCATCGATGTGACGCTTGCTTCAATATCTTCAAATGTGAAACATTCCGGTATTAAGCACATTGCGCCCGTCATGCGACATCTATCATGATCGCTGGTGCTTTGACATCTCTTATACATGCTAGCCACTTGCCAAAGACTTTGTTGATCGCACAAGGTACTCCAAACTTTACCATTTTAGGTATGAAAGGACGGTCGCGGGTGACTTGTTCACCGACGTTAAATTCCCGATTCCTGTGGTAAGTGCCTTGGGCGACATTCGGAATAATAACAGATTTGCAAATGCATTGATGGCGTCAATTTGTGCATGCCTGATGAAAGGGGAGTGAAAAAGATAGGAAACAAAAATCAGTTGCCTTCTTAATGCCAAAATTTTTTTTGCTGGAGGTAAACAGCATCTAGCTCACAGCAGGCGTCTAACTGCTGGGTGGAAGAGATACCTTTGGCCCCTGTTGTAGAGGACAACATGTTCATTCCTCGAGATACATGAATTGGGGAGGGGGAAACAGGCTGTGGGGATGTAACAATCTTTGTTCTGGCAGGCACATGGATTAGTTGAAGCAGTATACTTGATTTGAAGTTGGTGTGAACTAATAAATTTGACTGACTTAGTAGGTAAACATATATTATGGTGTTGCTACAAAGTAAGTCTTCTAAAATTCCTGAAGAGCTTGAATTTTCAAAAATGCAGGGGCTGTCTACCAACAAAACATGGTTGCTCCAGCCGAGCTCTTTCAACTCTTAAATACAATGTCACAAGCTGGTTTTAAGTGAGATTTCTGCTAACATCAGCATGAATGGTAGTTCGTGATGATACGCGTTAGTGGAATGTTAGACATTTGATTTACATTGGAAGAAGGAGAGCTCTAGTTTTTCACAGGATCCGTTATGAGTGCCACTTTTTCATATAAGTTTCTCAATGTGGCTTGTTTAGCAAACAATTGTTTGTGGAACATGTGGCTAAGTTATGTACCATGTAGCCTATTTGTGCATTCCTTGGCATTGAAACTGCCGTATTTTATCCATTTAAGGTATTTTTCTGAGTGGAGACCTCCATTGGGCATTTCGGCGACCATTCAGTAATGCCTCTCATAGATTTCATTTCGATGGTTTTCAATCCGCTCTTAAGATCCGGTCCGGTCCTAATCCATGTTTTGGCAGAAATGTATTATCCCATCCAATCCGGCTAGGGCATGGATCCACAATCCGTGAATTGATGCTGTCTGTGAAGTGCCCTACGAAATACCCCGTGCTGCGAGCTGTTCGATCTTACCGCTGCAGGATTTGTGTGCATTTCTATCTTCAACACGTGTCCGGGGGTTGTTTAGTACATGCTGCAGAGTTGTACTGGCAATCCAGGAAAGTTTACCCTCCTGAGATTCAAGCGAGTTGGCCATGTATCATGAATACTCAACGACCCTGTTCTCTTGCCACATAAACTTCAAAGTTAACTACTATTTAGATATGAGTTAGATATAACGTGCTGCACTGTTCATTTGTCGCTAACTTCTACAGCTAATGAAGACCATGCCTCCTACACTCGTCTTGGGCTCGCAGTGGTTCGCCTGATTTT